CTTGCTATTTATGGTTTTGCTTGGTGAGATGATTATGTTTAATAAAATGCACACTGGCTATAATAAGATCATAATTAGATGACCGAATAATTTAGAAACAGGGCTGTAATATTTCTAGCTGCAAAATAGCTTTCCCCCCAAAGAATACTTGTTGAGTGAGTTTTGTGTCATCATGTTTCATGTGATTCAGCCTTAGATCAGGTGTGTGAAAGTCCTTTTGTAAGAACACTGATCTTGGACCAGCCTTTGATTTTCAAATAGTGAAGAACATAACTTCATATGGTCAAAGGCAACTGATTATAGATGATCAGTTTCACTATAAATGTGTCTCCAAGCCTGGGTGAGGGTGTGGGTATGAGCTGGATGGATTACCACACGGCTTTTCAGTTCTTTATCTAATGGGAAAGTGAAACATGCAGACAGAGTGAGTCAAATGGGCAGCTTTCTTATGCAAAATGTCCTTCTCTGCTGAAAAATAATGATTTAGACATAATTTATAATAGAATAAATGAATGGAGGTTAATACAACAATATTTTTAATTTGCTTTTTAATATTTATGTATATATATATATATATATATATATATATATATATATATATATATATATATATATATATATATATATATATATATATATATATAAATGAGACGTGGCTGAAATCGTGTTTGGTCTCGTACTGTATCACATACCTTGTCAGTGTCATGCGCTTTGCTTGGCCATTTGTTGTGATAAACAGGAAAATGTGTTCAGCTGAATTCAATTTGAGTTTTGTTAGACAAATATAAAATGCTTACTATACCGCGGCAGTGGTTGTGGCATCCCTCATGTGAAGCTCTCTTCGTGTTAAGACCGAAGAGTATAAAGACCATCGACTCTACCGTTTGACTCCACCGAGCAGGGACACCGGCAAGGGACATAAGTATCACTTTTAAATCATTCTCTTTCCTACTACTTGTTTCCCTTCTGTTTACAGTTTTTAAAACAAATTCTTACTATGTGTTTCCAGATCCCTACTATCACTACCACTCGCAAACCATGCATCACACACTGTAGGCAGCACAATCCTAACAACCTGCGCATTTTGCCTATGTCTAGTAATACACTACTTTCTTTTTCTATTGGTCTCTGGAATTGCCAGTCTGCTGTAAACAAAACAGATTGTATTACTTCTATTACAAGTCATTCAAGACTAAACCTCATGGCCCTGACAGAGACGTGAATCAAACCAGAGGACAAAGCTACACCTGCAGCACTCTCCAATAATTGATATTTTTCCCACTCCCCCCGTCTGACTGGAAGAGGTGGAGATACTGGTCTGCTTATCTCTAATAATTGGAAATGTAATCCTTTACCATCTCTGAGTATCATCAGCTCCTTTGAATCACATTCAACCACTATTACCCACCCTCTTAAAATCCATTTTATAGTTGTTTATCGACCCCCAGGACCACTAGGTAACTCTGTGGAAGAATTAGATGTGCTGCTCTCAACCTTTCCTGAGGATGGTAATCCCCTAGTTATGCTTGGAGACTAGATAAACCTCAGACTGCAGACTTCCACACTCTGCTTGCCCCTTTTGATCTCAAGCGAGTGTTAACTACGGCTACTCACAAATCAGGCAACCAACTGGACCTTATTTACACACGACACTGCTCCACTGATCATGTGCTCATTACTCCACTGCACAGCTTGGATCACTTCCTCACTCTTAACCTCAACATGGTTCTTGACACAACACATACCCCTACAATTGTCACTTTTCGATGTAACCTACGCTCACTCTCACCCTCCCAGCTATCTGCTATGGTTTCATCTTTGCTTCCTTCCCATGAGCAGTTATCATCTTTTGATGCTAACAGTGCTACTGATACGTTCTGCTCCACTCTTACATCTTGTTTAGACACTGTCTGCCCCTTGTCTTCCAAGTCAGCTCGTACCACCTCTTCTGCCCCTTGGCTATCTGATGTTCTCTGTGAGCATCGTTCTAAGCTCAGAACTGCAGAAAGAGTATGGCGCAAATCACAAAATCTTACTGACCTTAATGTATATCGATCACTTCTCTCTTCATTCTCTGCTAATGCCTCCACTGCTAAAAGGACATACTATCACAACAAAATTAACAATTCGCCTAACTCTCGCATGCTCTTTAAAACATTTTCCTCCCTCCTTTGTCCTCCTCCTCCCCCTCCTTCATCAACTCTAACAGCTGACAACTTTGCCACATTC